TGCGGCGGGCGAGGGGAGGGGGGGGGTCAGAGAACAACTACACTGGCTGGCTGAGTTTAGGTGGGGGCAGAACCCCGGCCTGGATAGCCCAGGCTAGCCCGATCTCATCAGATCTCGGAAGCTAAGCAGGGTTGGCCCTGGCTACTCTCTGGATGGGAAACCCAGGGTTGTGATGTGAAGGCAGGCCATGGCCAACCACCCCTGAGCAGCTCTTGCCTTGGAAACCACACAGGGTCACCACAGGTCAGTTGTGACCTGACGACGGTTTCCACCACCATCACCGCACCCATAGCAGCAACATTTAAACAGGGTAATCCCCACATACGTGGCTTCTTTCTGGGCCACCTTGTTGGAACGGGCAGAACCTGCTGTTACCAGCCTTCAGGGCTCTTTTTGTAGAAAAAGCCCAGCAGGAACTCATTAGCATAATAGGCCACACCCAACAGCAAAACTCATTAGCCTATTAGGCCACACCCTGATGAGTTCCTGCTGTTGGGTGTGGCCTATTATGCTAATGAGTTCCTGCTGGGCGTGGTCAACTCAGGAGCCAGCCGGAACTCCGTTCCTGTGCGTTCCTGCCCAAAAATAGCCCTGCGCACCCTTTAGATTAGGGGATGCCACAGGATCCCGTCCGATTTCTCCATGCGCGTGAAGCAGCTGCACAATGTTTCTGAAGATCGGTCACAAGATATCAACACGAGGCCAGTGACCCAGGCGAACGTGACCTCATCAGATCTCGGAAGCTAAGCTGGGTCGGCCCTGGTTGTGAGGGGAGACCCCCCCGAGGAAGGCCGGGGCCGCTACGCAGATGCAGGCAATTGAGGGCAAACCACCTCTGAACCTCTCTGGTTTTGCAAACCTCATGAAGGGGTTGCCACGAGTTGGCTGCAGCTATTGGAGGGGGGTGGTGATTATTTGTGTGGGTGTGGGGGCGCACGTGCGGGCCTGAAAGTCATGGTTGACTTCTGGTGACCTGTAGAAGGACGTTTCAGAGAGGTGGCTTGCTATTACCTGCCTCTGCCTCCCAGCCCTGGTACTCCTTGGAGGTCTCCCTTCCAGGCACTTGCCAGGGTCGGCCCTGCTTAGCTTCCGAGATCGGGCTTGCCTGGGCTGTCCAGGTCGGGGCGAGTTGGCTGCAGCTTGACGGCGCTTTCCACCACTGCCATCGTCAATATGCCGCTAGGATCTCTCCCCCCCCCCCCCCCCCCCACAATGCCAGGCAATGTGAGCCGCCCTGAGCCCGCTTGCGGGGAAGGCGGGTTATAAATACAACAAACAAACAAATAAATAAATTGTTTCTCTTTCCATCTGAATCTGGAGGAGCAACTGAGGTTCTGGCCCAGGGCCTTGAGCTAGGGATGGCCTGTGTGAGGCTGAATAAGATGCAGCGGAATCCAGGTTTGAGAAGTACTGCTAAATCAGGGACACATCTGCTCGGGAACTAGATATTCCTGCCCATTCTGGACAGCGTTGCGTTCCCTCTGGAGAGGAAAGCTAACCTGTGGATCTGGAGCCCACCCATACGAGCCCACCCCAGGCACACAGACAGCCTTCACAGGCCTTGCCCTCAAGGTCCAAACCATCTGAAGTGTGGTGGGTGGCAACAGGGCCTTTCCAGTGAGGGCACCAAGGATGAGGAATGCCCCTCCCACCAAGGGAAGCTTGTGTGACTCCCTCACAGTTCGTGTTCAGGAAGAGCAGGTGGAGGACCGGTCTCCCAGTCGGTGTGGATGGATTTTTTTCCTTTTAGAATGAAAGGCAACCCATCGCACAGGATGATCTGCCTGGTGCATGTTGATCCTGTCTTTCCACAAAAGAGCTCAGGGTGCCATTCGTGGTTCTACCTCCCTGCCCACCCCCACCCCCGAGCAACCCTGTGAGGTAGGTATGAACCCCAGCTGCCTTCTACAGCCCAGCTGGTACAAACCAGGCAGTGACTCGGTCTGGAGACAAATACCCTCAACACAAAAGTTATTACCGTCTGCGTGGCCGGCAAAGAAAATCAGTTGCAGTTAGGAGGAGCCTATTTACGTATCAGCACAGGGCCTTGTCAATGTGGTAGCCCTTCCCTCAACCCCACTCCTTTACGTCTCCTCTCCTATGCCCTGTCCTGCACGGTGTGATGCAGTGAAGCACTTTCCTTTCCCTTGAAGGGAGGAAGGCCAGGAAGTCCTTGCCAGCGGAGGAATTCACAGCACGGCAGGCAGACTTGTCGAGCGAAGGCTAAATCGACCACACCGCCCCTGTTGATCTCACTACCCAGAGAGGGGAACACCACATTTTGCCTCCTGGTCAATACACCATCAATTGCGGCCTGACTCACAGAACTCGAGGGGAGCCATTGAGAACTGCCTCGGTGCTGTCTGTTTCTTGGTCACGCGAGAATATGCCAGAGGGCAGGAGGCACAGAGCCAAGAGAGGCAGCTGAAAGGGACAAGATACTCTCACAATCTCTAGCAGAAGAGCTCTTTAAGATGAAGATGAGCTCCCGGAGGAGATCCGGGCCCTGCGGGACCTTGTGCAGTTCTGCAGGGCCTGTAAGACGGAGCTCTTCCACCAGGCCTTCGGGTAGGAGCCGCCGCCGTCGCTATACCACCACCGCGATGCCACCATACATCTACCGTACCCTGGGGAGGGGGGTAGATGCCGCCCAAATAACTGTGTTGGGGAAGGATTGTTCCTGGCGCTCACGCTATTAAGAACACTAATTGTAAATGTGGGCCGCTGTGTACTGTGTATAATGTATGTAGACTTGTAGCACCAAATTTTTATAATGTATATATTATTGTTTTATAATTTATAAATTTTTATACTTGTTGTTAGCCGCCCTGAGCCATTGGGTAGGGCGGGATAAAAATCTCAAAAATAAAATAAATAAATAAATAAATAAAGATGAGTTCCATATTGTTGTAAGGGGCGGGGGGAGAGAAGGGAACAGAAATTGACGCTTGTTCCATTAAACAAGAAGCAAAACCCAAGATCTAGGATTCCAAGATGGAAGATCCAGGCACCCTGGCTCCCAAATTCCACCCAAGGAAATCCAGTCCAACCACTAGACTGTTCCTATCTAAGATGCATTGCATATCGAGACAACATCAGAACAGGAGTGGCAAAGGACTCTTCTGCCGGGGGTGAGCCTGCCTTCTTCCCACTTTCCCAGTGACCATGACTGGGATACGTACCAAAGAATCAAAGTGAGACTCGACAATTAGCCACGCCCTTCCTCCCAGGCTTCAAGCAAGGTGACCACCTTTCTTTTTTAATTAAAAAGGCACAATATTTATTCATTTAAATGGTCAGTCATTTTTCCCCCCTTTATTGAAGTGCATAATTGATTTTTCAAATGTAAATGTGCTGGGCACGGCAGAAATGGGAAGGAGAATCTGTGACATTACGAGCGCTAGGAATTAATGGCATGAACAGTTTCTGTCACAGATCGGTAGAACTGGTTTTCTCTGAGTTTGACCCAAGGGATGTAAGGGTTTACCTGAAAAGACTACATCGAGCATGCTTCCAGAGGGAACCCTGCCACTCCGGTAATAAAAGTTCACGCCCTAAACAGCTTTCCCCCCAGACCAAAAGCTGCACTTGGGCCACAATTCTGGGGAACTTATCTGTGCTGGTCTTTAAATGTCGCATTCTACAACCCAACTGCCAAACAGGTGATAAGTGTCTTTAAATGAGTAACTCATTTAGCGACTTGAGAAAGCGGGAATAGCCAAGAATTCTGGGAGCTCTACAGCAGAGGCTTATGGGTTAAGAAAAGGGAAACAGAGACACAGGCAGAGAGGAAGGAAGTTTCATGGAAGTCTAGACAAAGTGATGACTAAAGCAGTAACGGCTGTCGTCGTCCCCCCCCCAGACACTTATCAGAAAGGCAAGTAGGGCAGAGTTAGATAAAAGGAAGACCAGGGTGCAGCCTGCCATGTGACTGGGGCCAGAGAACAGATGGAATCTTTCGCTCGTCTGGGCAAAGGCACTGCATCGCTTAGGAGGCTTTGAGAGCCAAGGCACCTCAATCAAGACAGGGAGCTTGTTCCTTACAGGAGAGGCAACAGAGGGAGCCGCTGTGCCTTAGTTTTTAGAAATAGAGAAGGTTAGGGCAGATCTACACATCTACCTAAATCATATGGTGGAGTCATACCACTGTAGACAGCGGAGCCGTTGTGCCTTAGTATTTTGAAGTAGAGAAGGTTAGGACAGACCTACACATATACCTAAATCGTATGGTGGAGTCATACCACTGTAGACAGCAGGCAGGCAAATGGAAGGTAATCACATTTTGGAAGGCTCTCCTATCTGAAAGGATCCCTTGCCAAGCCCATGGGGGGCATTTGGGGGCAATGCCCCCCACAGATGAGCATTGCCCCCTCAGGAAAAAAAAGTCAAAGAATTTTGTTTTTTTAAATGTAAGATGCATGTGCGGGTTCCAAAATGACCTCAGGCACAGTCAGGAAAGCTTCGGTCTCATTTCTCTTTTTCCGGGTTGAAAAATAAATAGGTTTTTAAAAATGCAAATAAAATAAAATAAAATTGCAAAATGCAAAAGAGAGAGAGAGAGTCGGATATTCCCCACCCCTCCCTGGCTTGCACAGAAAAGCAGCCTGGAATCAAGTCTTTCCAGCCAAAAGGACTGGAGGACTACAGGTCACAGCGGAGCTGGAGCTGCTTCTGCTGCATAAGGAGCAGCAGGCATGGCCAGGGCCCCCCCCCCCCGGATTTCTCCATGCCCCACCAACCAAAATTTTCTGGCTATGCCCCAATCCCTTCATGTAGAATTCTAACACACCAGGTGGGATCTAGCCTAGAGCCTTCTGTCTGATGTGGTAGCCTACCACAGGTAAGGCAGGTTTTAGCTATTGAAGCAGTCAAAAATGCAACGACGCATGTTCTGTAGCAATAGAGACTAGGGAGGACTCTATGGTGTGTGGGCTGCCAGGACCGATTGCTTCACTGGGCAGGGAGCTCAATAACCCACGTGTTAGATCGGGTATCCTTACCTGTCTCACTCGAGATGGGAATCCCCAGCACCAGGCATTTGATGGCAGCCGCCCATTTCTCCGCCATGGCTTGGTTGTCCACGAAACTCTCGGCGCCGTCAACCTGAAAGGTCCTTGCAGTCCGCTGCCGTGCCCGGCCGGCACTCACTGCCACTTTCCGTTTCTTCAGCGGGTAGGCATAGATGCAGAAGTAAGCCGACCGATCAGCCAGCGTGTGACTGCGTAGCGTGTGACATCCCGCCACATCAACCAGGCGCACCACCGTCCGGTGATCTGAGTCTGGCTTGGGCACCAGGCGTTGGATGTGCAGTTCTGTCCATGTGAGGCTGAGGGCATACCGGATCCCTTTGGGGGGATAGGTCCCAAATTCCCCATGCAGCAGTGTTTCGGAGCCTTCCCGACACACCTCCAGAGCCAAACTCATCTTGCCGTGGAGACCCAGCTTGGCGGTTTAGTAGCCTGCTCTCTCAAGTGCCCTTCAAATAGGTTCCTCCACAGAGCAACCTATCCTCTTTCTTAAGCGCTCTCCTAGGGCTCTGGATTTGAAGAGCAGAATTTAAAATCTTTTCGTTTCCACATATGTTTCCTTAAGCTTCTAAATGACTGGCACAGCGGTTTAACCGAGAACCTTTCTCTGCAGCAGAAACATCCCTCCACATTCTCCCTTTCTTCATTCAGGAAGGTCCCTTGTATCAAAAAATCAAACAAGTTTCAAGAGAAGAAACAAAACTCCCAGCTTCTTCCACCCCCCTTCTCACTATGGGGGAAAAAAAATATGTGGTCGGGTTGACATTTAAAAGCCACAGGAATTAAGACCAACCTGCCTGATCTTGCGGAGATTTGGAACAAGGGGCAGGAGAGAAAGAGTATGCTGTCCAATCCAACAGGGAGCAGAAGAGAGGAAGGAGAGAAGAGCTTTCGTAGGGCAAATTGTGAACTGCTTAGTAAGACAGGTGCCCCTTTGGCTCTAGAGCGAGAAGATCTCGTTCTCAGCAAAGTAATTTTGCCCTCCAGCAAAGGGTTTAAACATATGCACAAGCAGCTTTCCAATTCCCATCAAACTAAGTAACTCACAGAACCTCCCCACTTCTCGCAATCCCCCCATCGGCTGTACAAGAGTTCACAGAAATTCAGGACCCCACCACCACCCTAGGGGTCAGGAAAAGGGGAGAGGAAATCTGTGCTCAAAATAGAACAAAGGATGCTGAGAGTCATCAGCTCAGGTGATGCTGCAGTGGAAAGCAAAGGAGAAGCAAAAAATGAGCAAGGGGGGGTATGTTGATCACAGGTCCTCCACCTCCATGGAGAAAATAACTATTTGTTTAAACAAAAGAGTCAAACAAACACACATACCCCAGCTGACTTGGGAGGTTTACTTTCAACTGCAGCACCCACCCGGTTTCGGTTTTACCTCCAGCTCACATTAGATTGCAAATCTAACCCACCTGATTAAAGGGGTCCTCCGAAATAACCCAACACCGCACTTTTGTACATTAAAGGGGGGGAAGGGCGAGAGGCTCCCGCTGTTGCTGTGGAAATAACAGAGCTAGGCTGGAGGGGGGGGGAAGGGTTAAAAGATTTTTTTTTAAAAGACACCCAACTCACCCCCTCATCAGGCACCTTTTGTCCAAAACAAACAAGACTTCACTGAGGAGAAGGGAGAAGGAGACAGCAGCACCTCCAACAGAGTTTCAAAATACCTCTGCACACCTGCTAGCCTTTAATATCTCTCCCTGGCACCTCCTCGCATGAACGTCTTTCCTCCCTGCACGCCTCATTCCCTTCTGCCTCGATCCCTCCTTCTTCTGCACTCCACCCTCTCCCCTGCCTTTCCCTCTATTTTCCCCCCCACCCTCCCCTCTAGCTCTGCTTGCTCCACTCTCTTCCTAATACTAGACCAGGAAGTGTTCTATTTTCTACCTGGAGGAGGAGGAGGCATGGGGAGGACACAAAGGAGCGGGGGCGGGGGGCCTACTAGCCTATCAAAAAGCAGCAAACGCCTATGCTAAACCAATCAGAAATCGCATCCCTATCCACCTTCGAAAATAGCATTCGATCTTGGTGTTGGAGACTGTCATCTTTGGTGAGGGCAAAGCGGCCATCTTAACTAAGGGGCGGAGAAGCCGCTCTCCAGTAAACATGCTATATAGTATAGGAAATGATACCTACCTAAATAAGACGTGCGTTGTTCAAGGCTGCTGCTGCTGCTATTATTATTATTAATAATAATAATAATAATAATAATAATGTTTTCTCCACAGTGATCAGGAATCGCTGGCTGTGTGGGCAAGGTCAAAGTAGGCAGAGACTTCATTCTCCCTTAAAAGCAAACGGCGGCCATCTTTAGTAAGAGAAAAGAACGTCAACTCTGGCCCCAGCTATCAAAGCGGAAATGAGGGCATGGCAGCCCTTTTTAACTCGGGTGAACTCCCAGTGGAATGAATGAGGTGGCCATCTTAAGTGAGGGAACTTGGAAGGAGACTCTCGCAACGCCCTCGTGGTTTTGCGGCCATGGTCAAAAGGTGGCTCTTTAAAGGGCCTCATAAATGTAACGAACGGAGCTAGCCATCTTTGTTATGGGCATACAGGTTTTTATTACTTGATTGGTTGTTTCTCTCCTCAGCCACTGAGTGAGCACATGATAAGGCAAACAGCCCATTTTAGCCACAGGCAAACCGGGGAGCTTTTGCTGTTTGTAATCCCAAAACATCACACGGAGTGTTTTCAGCACATGGCAACAGAGAGTTACCTGTATGTCTGCGCAATTGCTGTTTTTGAAACGTCTGCAGCACTGTTCGGTTTGCTAACCTCCATCCCCTAAACAGAGTGACACCATTCGAAACCCAGTGGCTTCAATGTACTTCGAAGCTGTCACTGTCTAATTTCGCCATCCTGATTACACTACAGGGGCACAAAGGAAGGAGCGTTTTCCCACAAGTCTGCATTCGGCTGAAGGCTAGCTTTAGGTCTGTGCGGCTGTGGGTTTCAGCTGAACTTGCCTCAAACCGCTATCCTGTGCACCCTTACTGGGGATTTGCTTCTGAGCAAGCAAACATCGCAGGGAGTCGTCACATTCGCTGCCACCTAAAGCATGTTCTCTTGGGTGGTGGTGGGAGGCCTCTGTTGTCAAGAGGACAACATTAACACATGGAAAAAGTTCTCGCAATTCGGTTTCCTGAAAGATCTTGTACCTCCTAGTAATCAATTTGTACGTGACCTATTTGCATCTTGAAAACAACCTGCCGCATTCTGCCCAATATTGCTGAGGAATTCCATGTCTGTAACTTTGTATTTCCCAAGCAGAATAATTCGATTTCGGCAGATTTAGA